ATCTCGGAGACACAGAAGGATTTGGTAAACCCGGTACCGATGGTAAGTTATACGCTTTACACTTACACGATAATGTATACAATCGGAAAGAAGTCACATTCACGGGTAATCTAGAAGATTTAAGCGATGTCGATGTTAGTAGACTCCTTAAAAACACTTCGTACAATATTACTCACAACGACGATAATAAATGGACTATGGTCGAAGCAAACATCGAGTGGCTACTGAATATCGTCATTACCCCACCTTATGTGATGATGGGTAAGGGACATAATTTAACTAAGATAATAAATAGTGGTATCGTACTCGCGGCTTATATCCCATCAAAACGAAAAAGTGTGTTAGTTACCCCCCTGCCAGAAAACCCAGGTCATATGTTATATAGTCGTCCGGCCTTAAAAAATGTTACTTTAAATTTGGTTACTGAATTCGAAGATATTAAAGTTAACCTGAGTGCAATACCTAATCTTTCTACACTTATTATTGAAGTCTTGTTCGGAGATGTACCGGAAGATGCCTTCGATATATTACCAGGTCTATCGATTAAATGGCTAAAGAAACACGAGCGTCAACGTTGCAGTATTATTCATATCGGAGCATCGCCCGTTGCAACCCTCGAGGGGGTCCAAATTATTAAAAGTGACAGTATTTCTCTTTCTAAGATATTCTTGCCGTATAATATACATTTGATAAGATTGATGTATAGTCTCAAAACATTGAAGCAAGACCAATTAAAGACTATTATATGAACGTAATATACACTATGAGTTTATATCCGACGCTCAGTGAAGCATTTGAAAAGATGGATACTGTTGATGGATTTCGATTACATAAAATAAGCGACATAAAACATCTAATAGGGAAGGAGAGGGAGTTGAGACTTGGATTGTATAAAAAGTATCGCAGAGCCGTGAATGCTCTGGACGGAGTTGACACCGCTCTTGTAGTATCTGGCATGGGACTCGGTGTAGCGGGTATCGGTTTACTATCAACTATAATCGCCGCGCCTATCGTGCTCGGCATGGAAATAACCGCTGGAGTCTCGGGACTGGCAGGAATAGCGATAAAATTCATTTCTCGTAGGTTACAAAAGAAAGCATTAAAACACGATAGTATTCGGATACTCGCCGAAGCAAAGTTGAACAGCATTGAGGATCATATTTCGACAGCAATGGCCGATTGTAAGATATCCGAGGATGAGTTTCGTTTAGTGCTGTCGGAGCTCAACAAATACAATAAAATGAAGCAGGAGATTCGATCAAAATCTCGTAAGACCAGTGGTATTAGCGAAGACGAGAAAAAAAAGTTCATAGAAGAGGGGAGGCAACAAGCGCGTCAATTATTCCGTGCCAAAACCAAAGAACTGGTTGGAGATTAAAAATAGATTGTTTACTATCGTGTGATTACATTTAGACAAATGCTAACATAAATATATAATAATGGAGAAAGCTATTCAATGGAAAGAATTACCACAAGGTTTTTATTATATCAGTGATGTCAAACCAACCAAATACGGTTATCAATTGTTTCTTATCAATTTACAAAAAGAGTGTAGTTATATAGTCTGGTCTCCTAGTAAAATGAACGAAGAACTTAATAAAAATGTTGAATATCGCTTTATCGATAAAAATAATAAAGAATATTTTTATTACCATTTAGACTCATCTAAAGCAATGATTGGCCCCAGGAATTGGTGAGCTAGAGCCAATCTAACTTAATCTCATGACTATCGTTGAATCGCATCATCATTTTGGCATAAAAAATTCCCTCTGTAGTAGCAGTATAGGTATATGAATCCTGCTCCAGTGGAAGTGAGCCAGAACCATCATTACCTATACTACTTATGGCCTTCTCAGCCACAGGGTTCTTGTTTCTGTTTTTTACTCAGCCTGTTCCTAATGACAAACTGTGCTGTTGAAGAAGCTCATTTTTCTCAAGTCTGACGAAACCCGGGGCAGAAGAGCATCAGATAAGAGCATGAGGACCATCAAGAGGATGGAATTAAATGGAAAGGCGGATCAGCGCTTCACAAAGGGTGGAGTTACGCTCATCCCCTACAATGCAAGCCGCAGTGTAGGATGTAAAGAATGAACTGTCATTCACGTGGCAAGGTATCTGATGCAAATGCAAAACCAATAATTTCAGGAGGGTCACTGGTGCTTTGTTCTGCCATATGTCTTTCTCACGGAAAGTGTCATTCAAAGTGACCGTGTCATTCTCTATTGACTTGTCCAAATACAAAGCAAAAAGGTATCTGTGACACACTAGTTTGAATTGATAAGCTGAAAGATGATTTAGTTTGAATATGTAAGGCAGTAAGAAGTGTAATACCTGTCTTGGGACAACAATGTACTCCCATGTTTGGCAAAGTGAAGCAGAAAACTCTCCTTGACATAATTTCTCAAATGCCAATACACATGGTCTGCTGTCGATGAGGATACATGTTTTTAGCTCAGATTGGATGATTAACGAACTAATAGCAATGGATAGCACTTCTACTTCACAGGGTAAACAGGCACCCTGTTGCCTTCAGACATTGGCACTAAAGAAATAAGCTAAAATAAACTATGGTTATAACAAACTCAAAGGGACCACTAATTTTAGTTTGTAATAACCATAGTTCATTATAAACATTTCAACTGGATCAAGTCACGTGATCACATCATGTTACTCAATAAATAACAAAAGTGTGCAATATATATTTCTTGCGATGCCCTACCTCTATTACATCTTTGCCATAAATACTGTAGTTTGGCTTCAGTCACACTAAAATTTTCAGATTTTCAACAGACGTCCTCTTCACTGTCAATTACACAATTAGTTGTTTCCAATATAGCAGTAAAGCAACCCAAGCTAAGACGTGCATAATGGCAGGAAACCTCACTTCTTTCCTGTGTGTGCTAGAGTCAACACCTATTGTTATAGTTGTAATGATCTAGTACTTGGTAGTAGTCACATAAATCTAAGATTATTTTAAATGTTTTCTAAAACAGACACATTAAATCAATATTAACATCAATTGTAGTGACGGTCATACTTACGTAAGTATAAAGTAGGTGTGAGGTATTTGTGAGGTCGTAACAGAGTCTCCCACTACTCCTACATGGAAGATGTGTGGTCATTTTATGATCATGTAAGATCCTCATAACAACTGCTGGAAGTGCAGAGAGGTAAAATGCACAGATGAAGCTTTCACTGAAGCTAGAAGACGAGTAGCAGCTAAGAAGAAAGTCACCTTCATTGCGGCTACTGACACTGACTTAGCCTCTGACTCCATCTCAGCACCTACTCCGGCAAATGAATCATCTCCTGTGTTCTCTATGAACTTGATAGAAAAACTCTTCAAAACAGCAAAAGGAGATGATGGAGTCGATGTTTGAGTCATGCTTCTCAACTATAAGTCAGGATATGGAGATGTTTAAGAAGAAGCAGACGGTATTGGCTAAGAAGAGTCCTCCAGCCAAGAGGCCGCATCTGTTTATACCACAGCCATGGCCTTACGGCCTACCGACCAGCCGCGTAGCCAAGCCGACCATACCGACCAGCCAGGGAGAAGATCTCAAGCTTTACCCTCCCATGATACACGGGCATCTAGATCTCCACATAGGTCTCGCGAGGGTACCATACTCCCCAGCTAAGACACCGTACAGTTACCGCACAGACTCTATGGTAACCAAGCCGACTGTAATGGGAGCGTCACTTCAACCGTATGGTTGCCATTAACTGACAGTACCCAAGCCGACCGCTCGGATCGTACCAGACCGTCCACCCAACCAAGACTAAGCTTACATCATTGGACTCAGACATGATGACCGGCTACCATTACTAACATTGAACCGGAAGTTGTATATAACACACGATGCTCCACTTCCGGATCATCAAGTATTAGACGAAGACATTATGAAGCTAATACGCAACCCTAATACTATTGTCACATAACCTGCTTCACGGATCAAGGACCTGTCCATGGCATCCAAACATTCAATGGACATTGGTGCTTATATCAACTAGTTTGTTGATGGAATCATTCACATCATTCCACTGTTGCAGACATCATATGAAGGCATATCCGGAGAGAGGCCTATAAATCTTAGGACGGATCAAGTCAGACTCATTCACAGCCTGCTAGACACCATAGTCAGAATGCAGGAAGACTTACTCTCCACCCAAGTCTGGATGTCTTCACAGCTACTCTGGGTTCAGCCTCAACAACTACTAGCACAGATTTGTTCAAGAGCAGTTTTCAACAGAACGAAGAGGTTGATAATGACACAACCAATATCTGGTCCCATGAGATTCAACGGCAAATTGGGACATGTCATAGACGAGGTCAGACAAGATCCAACTGAACGAAGTATGAACTATCAACCTAGCTGCAAAGGCACATGGATCAACATAATGCCAACTCCAGGGCCAGTTGGAGGGGGGTCTTCTGTCATACGCCTAAAGTTGGAAGCAGGTTACAACCAACCGCTGGATGCTAGATGTTGTGGCCCATGGATACAAACTGCATTTCAAAAAAGCATCCCATCCTGAAATTTCATCTAGTCGGAACCAAGCTAGCAGCAGCAGATTTGGCTATCAGGAAGCTACTAAAGAAGTGAGCATGTCACAGTTTGGTATATATTCTGTAGAATGCTTAATATGGTTGTTTTGGTAAGATGACATCACACGTTGACGACCAAAGAGATGATATTGTTTTTTGTTGAACATCAAAATGTCTGGGAACTTCATTTTCTAACAATCCAAGAATAGATGTTGATTTTCAGGAAGCCATGGCATTGTATCATGCTCCCAACAAACACACAAACATCCAAATTGTAGGCCATGCATTAACATGCACATGCACATTGTGAATTACGACCTTAAAGTCGAGGAAATGTCTTCATGATTATGCATTGAAAGATGCATTATTTACTTTCAGAATCAATTTATTTATTGAAGTTTACATGAAGCACAGTTACGTTTTTCTGTTAGTATACATAGGACGGCTTAATTACCTAGAGTCCTGCATGTAGTAGTCAGGGCTTACGTTGACTGTGAGGTCAATGTAGGAGCGGGTGGCCTCTAACAGTGTCTCCATCTTGTACCGAAGTTCAGCAAAACAGGGTCTGTCTTCTGGCCTGGGGTGCCAGCATGACAACATCATCTGATAGCTGGAAAAATGCATCACCATTACTTCCAGACATTCTCACATATGAGATGTAACATTAAGGTCCAAAATTAAAAATGCTTTGTGGCAAAACATCAGATGTGATAATAATGATGTAAATCATTGTTGCTCTACAACCTTGTGCTACCTATAAGCCATATAAATAACTATAAACATGTTTGCATAAATAGAAGTACCTCTTCACTGCTATGTCCCAAAGGTCCCAGCTATCATTTCATAACAATGTATTTCCAGTCTGATACATGACATATTCGGTTTATGGAAATACAAGCCAGCAACAACATCAAACCAGACTGCCTCTTCCCAGCATAATGAGGAACCGAAATGTATTAATTTCTGGTCTGACACTGAAATGCATTAATTTCTGGTCTGACACTACATGTGGTCAGAGAAAACACAGGATCTGATGACTTTAAAACAGGAATTCAATGCTTCCAGTTACCTAACAAGAACGTTATATCATTTTTGTTTTAATACATCCTTTCAGGTTTGAGAAAACTTAAGTCTAATGCAAGACAAAGTCAAAAAAGAAAGTCTGTTCCACTAGGCACATTCCTTAGAAGGTTAATTATGTGTACTTCTGGCTTAATAAATTTGCACAAGTGTAGAGAAATACAGCTTTTAAACAGTACATGACACTCCTCCAGCTACCTTCATAAGAAAGCTAAATTTACTTCACACTTCTGGTTTGAGATAACACCTGCCTAATGCAGTACATCTTGAAAACGTATACTATCTGCATACAGTTGAAATCATTATGTCCAGACAACTTCTTGAGGTTGAACAATTACTCAAGTCCCTGGATTGTACAAGTTAAAGTGCAAAACATTATTCAACCATGTTTTATCTCAAAGATGACATTGATCTTAGGTAGCCATCATACCACCAACATTTCATGTGATAATTTATCTGTTTGGGAAAATCTTATCACTAAACATGATGATTTATCATTTAAATTGTATTTTCTGTTCTGCTAGGCATTGTTTTATATGCAGAAATATAGATTACTGAGTGCATTTTCTAGTAAATTGAGCCAGCAAACTGCTGTATACACATTTTCTACCAATCTACTGGTGATTTGGTGGGATGAATAATATCTGAAACTCATATTTTATCAGATATTAAATATTCCAACATCAAGTTATTTTAGTTGAAGCTTTTACTGTATATATGTAAAATAATAATAACCATAAGTGTAGCACTTTGGTACAGCAGATTGCTGGGCATGTTTTACATATGGAACAATTGATCAGTCACCGTTGAGGCCTCTCGTGTTCCTGCTACAGCAAATGAACCAGACAACTTTGATCCAGAGGATCAACACAGTGCAAAGAAATTTTGTAGCATACCTACCTATAGATGCAAGTTCCTATACTGTCATAAAGCGCACATGTGTAACACAGAAGATAAAACAAGTTAAAGTATGCATGTGGTACCTGCAGAATCAGGAATGAGAATAGGGCACATTTCAGTTTAAATAGTTATGTAATATAAAGGTAGAAAAGTAGATATATCAATGTGAACAGTATCATGTATACCATGTGTCAACTTAATTCCCCATGTTCCTTGAGACAATAACAAATGTTTCAGGAAACCATTGTTGTGAAAACATATTACTAGGGGTTTTTTTAAAATATGTTTGTATTTTTTTATAGTTAATCTTTTCAAAGTAATAGCTACAATGTTGTTATATTATTCTGTTATGTAATAGATCTGTACATGGAGACATGCATAAGAGTTACCTCCCTAATGGTAATATGTTTACTTCTGTAGCCTGACAAAAGTGCTAATACCTCGCTTCAAGATAACTTGGTCACTGATTCCTGAATCTGGAGTCTGTGCATGAAGAGGCAGAGGTTGACAACTCCATGATGGATTCAACAGCCTACTTAGTACTCCAACTTCTAAATGCCTATCAAAGAAGTGTCATAGCGACTGATTTACGACACCCATGTATGAAGAACATTTAATTGCAAAGCCTCATTACCCTGGAGCCATGACATCTATATGCCTTGAAACACTTAATTGCTGTTATTTATAAGATGTTAATCCTAATTTTTGTGTACATCGACCGTCTGCCATGCTGATGAATTACTGTTTACATTTATGTTTATTACTTACTAAATGTCAGGTGACCTTGGCTAAATAAGCCTTGATCGAGAGAGATTGAGGAAAAAGAAGAAAGAAAGGTCTTACCCTTAGCCTCGCTAGGGTTAGGCTGGGTGCTCTGGGGCACCTAGACAACAACCATTACCACTATGTGCTGACCTGGCACATAGTGTCTTTCGTATGTATATATCTACATGTATAAAGTAAAACTGTATATACCGCAAGCCATCATCTCCAAGTTGTCACTTCCTACTGAGAACCATACGTCGGCCCCTTGCTTATACGAGTATGGAAATTATTCATTAATCAACGTCAGATCAGACCACACGCTATCGGGTATGACAGACTTCTTAGTCTGTCCTTTCCTGTACCTCATTGCAGCATGGCATATGGTTCACAATACAGTAAGAAGTGACAGTCTCTTATTAAAAGGATATACTACCTTCCTGAAAGCCAATCACCAAGAATAAAGAAACGGCCTATAATGAGATTGAAGAAAGAACAAGAACCTGTCCAATCAAGAACAAGTTCTCCGATCCCAAACCCTGCTCGAATATCTTAGCAACACTGCTAAGACTTCCCCTTCAAGATGTCGTTCCTGCACATGACCTAAGAAAAGAAGTATACACGCCTATCCCACGGAGACCCGACCACAGCCATCTTCATGCAGACCCTGCACAATACAGAGACCGCCTCACGGGCACCTACAAGATGGACACTGTGTACAAGATATCTCATGGGGACTTACTAATATGTGTTTACTTACATGGACTCAATCAAGGATATTTATTGTGTGACTGTTGAATAGTGCAACCAGGTATGTTTAATCGAAGCCAGTATATTAATGCCAAAATGTGTCTTTCCAAAATTCAGTTTTGTATATGTGCAATATACACCAAATTACATCTTTAGTCAAGCTAGATCTTTGAAGTTATTGTGTAGGGAATCTTTGAAATGTCTCCAGGCCACGCCAGACATATAGTTGCAACTAGGGCCTAGACAAACCTAAGCTGTAGGGTTATCGAGTCACACCTTAAAGCTCGACTCGTAATTTCAAAAATCTAAACGACAAAATTTGTATTTGTTACAAGTTATTAATGTGCACAGTTTGGTACAAAATTGAATGTATTGTCTAGGACTTTGAATTCAGATTAGGGATATTCTTGGGTGAGCCACCCCTGCAACATATGTTTATTGTATGTCAGTATTAAGTAATTAACAGCACAGCAGTATTCAGCATTTCAGAGTTTTGATGTCGGAATTAGGAATTTTTTTTCTTGGGCATCGCACCCACAATATTTGGGCAAGCTCCGTCAAAGACACGGGAAGAGCACCCATTGTACTTAAAAGGGCATTAGTACCCAAAAGTACTGTTTGAGTCGCGAGGTAAAGTTAGACTCCTTGTTTCAAATTTCTTTATGTGAAATATTTGCTGAGATGTTTAATTTGTACTTTTTATGACATTACTCATTATCATTATTCGGTACTGAGTCACCGCCAAGCCAGACTCCTGAATTCAAAGAACCTCCATGATATATTTATTGAACCTGTGCAAAGTGGCAATTACCTTGTAGTGAAATTGCACATTACAAAGATCACTTGGTTAGTTTTCAAACTGGCACTAAATCAAATTGGCTAGATGATCACTTTCATACAGTCATTGCATAGATATATTTGTTGCATAAGGATTTCATATAACTGATTTTGTTCACATTTGCATGGTTGTTTTCGTTGGTGAAAAAGTTCACATATATCAATTTGGACTCATGTAAGCTTGGGGTCCAAGCTTCACGTAATGGAGGTAAGTTGTCATAGCGACTGATTTACGACACCCATTTACCAGGTCCTTACATACCACTAGGCTGACCCTTGACCCAATCAGAGGAAACTCCTGTCATACAGCCATTGGCCAGCAGCGCTGATCGCGACCAATCAGGGCGTTCCTACCATACTGTGCTCGGCGCATCATAGCTCGTGGCGGAAAATTCAACACGCGGCTCAAGCACTCAAGTAGGAAAACACTCACCCCTCCAAATGACCAAAAGGTATGATTTATGGCCAAAGTGTGAGTTATAAGAGAGATAATTGACTACAAGATACATACAACTTCCAGACGTACTTACATCAAATTTATAGGATGTTTCTTATTGGTTCTAAAAATAGCCACCAGATGTCCCTTACGCCTATGTTATTACACTAAATTATGTGATCTCCTACATATTTGACATTGGACAGTGGTGGCATGCTGTAGATATAGTATTTTCAAAAGTTTAATAATATAGAATACAGATACTTGGGATATTACCAAGTAGTCATTCAGATCCTTTGGAAAGTGGAGTGCACATCAATAGCAGACCTGTCAACCCCTCATCATGACAATGTGGGAGATTTGACTTCAAAATGGGGGAGATTTGACACCAAAGGGGGAGATTTTTAAGATAGTGAAGATAAGATAATTTCCAACTTTTATTTTTAATAATGTTACAAAGAAAACCAAATATTTTGAAACAATAAATAATCAATAAGTTTCTTATACGTACAGCTTGCTTAATTTCTGTTTCCGTTTTCCTCCTCCAAAAATAAACCCAGCACAATCTACCCATATAACTTTCGTTCAAAGATCATCTCAGATAAACGCGAACAGGTATTGAAATTTCACAATCGGTAGCTTGACCAGTTGACGACGTGTTCAATCTGACCAGTTGTCAGGCTTCGTTACGATGCAGGTTTTCTGAGTATTTGGCGCGATGATGGTTACAAAATTCGCCAAAGAAATATCAAATGCATTTATCCTGACGCAACATCATCGCCCTTAATTTCAATAAGATATACTGGGTTTTTTTTGTCTGCGGTAGTCTGTTGACAGTCCCATTACTTCGCTCCTTAAATTTCCTAGAAATGTTCACGTTATTCCATTCCAAGAAATGTATGCCATATTTGGAAGTACTATTACGTTTTACTACAATTTATGAATGAAATGAGTCTCGTTGTCGTTGTTGACCTATCTGACCTTGATGTGTATTAATCTCATTGGTTGACTAGTACTGTTGTATGCAAATTAGATTGAAGATCGGGGACGCAAGCAAAATATTAGCCAATCAAATCGTGTAAAATAATCACATGATACATTCTCGTGAAATCTGATAAAGTTCTGTTTTGATATTTTCTGTGCACACAAGTCACGATGACAGTCAAAAGGAAATTTATAAGTTTCACTTTAAACTTTGACTTTGAAATCCTAGCTGTGAGGAAGCCTGATCGTGTAACTCATTGTTATTTCGACTACCGAATCAACCAATCACGCATAGTGTTGTTTCTGAAGACGGCGCTTGCAGGACCTATTTTGTTTTCATTTCCAAGAGTTCAATGACGTAACTTTGAGGTATGTTGATGTTTTAACAAAGTTTCTGACAAATCTGATAACCAATAACGTTATGTATAACTGGACTGGCCATATGTATCTACGTTCTTAAATTATGGAAGAATAAACACGCTAAGAACATGAAGACAACAGTTCATTTCATGAAGTGATGAATACTTGGCTGATTTTTCATTTCAAGTTCAACCCTTCAGTCACCTGTTAGGACTATCCGAGTTTTCTTAACAGTTTACATTGTTCAATCGTTCACCATATGAATTTAATTACCAGTTGATTACTTGACAAAGGCCCATCTGGGTCCCCCTGCGGGTGGCTGTGATAAGGGTCGCTAATCCGGGAGCCTACCGGACAGATCTGGACGCAAACTTCCCGTTCATTGTTTTTACTCACGGGACAATGGAGGCGAATTTTTTAAATAATGAAAAATTCTGTTTTGCGGGAGAAATAGTCCATCCTGCGGGAGACTGGGAGATTTCATCAAATTGCGGGAGTCTCCCGCAAAATGCGGGAGGGTTGACAGGTCTGCAATAGTGCAAATAATATTACACACAGAGACATTCACTGTCTTTGGTGACACTCGGGAAACTCATCTTTCTTGTAAATAGGCAGAAAATGCTATCCACTGAAATTAATAGATGTTGTCTGTATTATTTATATATACTGTAAATCTTGAAATTAATGCATCCCCAAAATAATACAACTGCTGACCCCTAGCCAAAAATGCTACTTCCACCACCACATCCCCAGTGGAATGATACATATCCTTACCTTAATCCAACTTTAAATTAATCCAATCAATCAGCACCGCTTATAAGCACTGAGTAAAGCACTTCCGTAATAATAATACACAGTGTTTTCCTAAAAACAACACACAGTTTATATTTATTCTGTTGACAGCCATTAAGATAGTTCAAAGGCAATAAAATCATTGAACCAACAACAGTTCACTGATTGGAGTGGCCAATGATGCCTAGTTTGACACGAGTGGGTAGAACTCTGGACCACCACAATGATAACTCACCGGATGCCTATTGTGTAATTCCTAATAATTTTTTAATTTGAAGTTTACATGATATACGGCTTTTCCATTAGACGAGAGGTCGGTCACATGACCGCGAAATTGACGTTCTAAGTGTATGAACGACACAATTTGATGTTCATACGTTTTTCACGAGATCGTGTTCTTGAAATGACGTAAATGCTGACAGACTACTTCCACATTCCTGGGGAAACCCCTGGGAATTCCCTAGCATGAAAACATGCATAAGCGTTCTTTATGATCATTTAAAATCCTTAATTCTTGGTCTCAGTGTTTCAGTATACATTGAGAAATGTCAGAGCTCCGACGTTCATACAGTTTGGCCCTCACTCTATAAAGGTTCATACTCCAATGAACTCACACAAAGTGAAGGTCAATTCTTCATTCTTAAAATGACATTGTTCTGTACTTGTTACAACTGCTGCTCAATAAACCGTGTTTGTGTATATATATTGGTATTTCCACTTTCCAATGTGTGCAGTGAGGCTGTGTTATTGTTGATAGTCATTTTAGAGACATAAATGCGAGTTTCATTAATCCGAAGAAAAAACACTCGCATTTTTCGCATTTAATTCGCACTCACATTAACTTCTAGATATACAGTAGATGTTCACCTTGCAGAGGTAATAGGGAATCACATTAACTTCTAGATATACAGTAGATGTTCACCGTTCAGAGGAAATAGCGGAATCACATTAACTTCTAGATATGCAGTAGATGTTCACCATTCAGAGGTAATAGGGGAATCACATTAACTTCTAGATATACAGTAGATGTTCACCGTTCAGAGGTAATAGGGGAATCACATTAACTTCTAGATATACAGTAGATGTTCACCGTTCAGAGGTAATAGGGGAATCACATTAACTTCTAGATATGCAGTAGATGTTCACCGTTCAGAGGTAATAGGGGAATCACATTAACTTCTAGATATACAGTAGATGTTCACCGTTCAGAGGAAATAGGGGAATCACATCAACTTCTAGATATACAGTAGATGTTCACCGTTCAGAGGTAATAGGGGAATCACATTAACTTCTAGATATACAGTAGATGTTCACCGTTCAGAGGTAATAGGGGAATCACATCAACTTCTAGATATACAGTAGATGTTCACCGTTCAGAGGTAATAGGGGAATCACATTAACTTCTAGATATGCAGTAGATGTTCACCGTTCAGAGGTAATAGGCTTGATATGGGGGGTTCAGAATTCCACTCAGCACAGTGTGCTTGACCCAGGGGGAGCTACACTAGTACGTGTCTCCAATACATGGTCCACCCAAAGTTGATGCACATATATTTCTGTAGATTTCCGATATAAAATAACACACTGCTTCTTCGTCTTGGGTGGAAGGGTCTGCAGGATGGACATTCTCTTTCCCTTTAGCAGCCTATCAACCCCGAGAACCATGTCTCTGTCCGGGATAGACACAAACTTGCAATGATTGGGGCTTGGGCGTTTGGATTTTGGTCATTTGGAAAGGGTTTCCTAGGCAAAAGGTGAGCTACTATAAAGTAGATGTTATCCACAGTTGCTTCGGAAAAGTTAAGTTCATTCTCAAACAATTTTCTCAGTACTTTCTCAGGCACTTGACTTGGTTGTTCTCAGATTCCATAAAATAACAAATAGTTTTCCTGTCGCAGGTTTCCTTTTGGAGAAAAGTTATTTCAAAATTATCAGTTTCCTCTTAAATTTGACATTTCAACCTGTCTGCCTCCCCATGTACCTCCGTGATCTCGTCTTGTTGTTGTCATCCCAATTTCGTTTCAAAATTACTCAAACATTTGTCAATATCACCTTTAATGCCATCTAACCTTTCAGAGATATGTTTCTCAACATTTAATATGAGAGTTTCTTGATTAGCCATTGAGCGAGTGCTTATCCTGGACTTAGTGTCTGCCATGATTGCAGTTGTAATATCAGTGCAAAATCTTTAAAGTTTACTCACTCAAGAATCCATGAAGAAACTTACAACAAATAGACATACGTAGAAGGTCTTTTTGTGTTATTTTGTAGCCATTTGTTGATGATTGCTTTAATGCCCATGGGGTATCTCAGAGCAGCTCAAACCCGCATCCTACTCCTTCTCAAGCACAACCAGAAGCCTTGACACCAGTTGTATTTATGCTTATGGTTTCAAGTATGATGCTTGTTAAACTTCAATGTGATTTTGCATTTAGACAACTATATGTGCTTGCATGCCTTTATGAGAAAATGTAAATAGTTAAATGATCTACTTACACTTCATGACTGCAGTTATCTGGTTTTTCCATACGATAGCCATCTTTTAGCAGCCGAAACAGATCCTTGTTGGGGATACCAGGATATGGACAACCACCAAGTGTTACTATTTCCCACAAAAGTATTCCAAAAGACCACCTACAAACACAAGAAATAAAAGAGAACTCTCCTTCAGTTTCTGTAATAGCTTAGCAATGTCATAACAGAAAGGAAAACAAGACATCACAAAATTTAAAAAGAAATGTCTACATAATAGGGCTGGGACAAGTCTAGATTTACTACCCGCGTACCCAACCCCCTATTACCCGACCCTACTCGGGTATCCACTGTAGGTCTCAAGAGATAGGTACAAAATGTCCGATTGGGAATTTTTTTACCATAGCCCTGGCAAAACGTATTTAGAAACATGTATTAAACAATTTGGTCATGCATACTCTGAAGTTGACCTAAATTATATCTTTATTCACCCATATGAAAAGTCAGAAGGAATGGGTGCATAGTCAGAAAGAAATGTGAGCATTAGTGACTTGTAGTGAAACCATAGTGTTCCAGATAATTTTTGTCATTAAACAATATATCACGTGACTAACCACGGGTCAGGGTAGTCCTGTGGGTACCCGGGTCCTACTCAGTACCCTCCCGACCCGGGTACCCGAGTTACCCATCCCAGCCCTACTACATGACATATTTTGTAACATGCTACTATAATGGCTATTGAATGAAAATGTTTACAAGTATAAATAAATCTATTTGCAATCTGTTTAGCCAATTGAGATATATACATTTGTGATATATACAATGGGATGTAATGAATAGCTTACACATCACTCTTTGTTGTGAAGACATGGTCAAATATAGACTCCAGTGCCATCCATTTGTATGGGAGTTTCCGGGCGGAAGTGGGCTGGTAGATGTTAGTCTCATAGACATCACGTGACAAACCAAAATCTGATATCTTCAGCAGGCGGTGACTGTACACTAATATATTACGAGTGGCTAAATCCCGATGTACAAATTTTTTCTGTGATAGAAACTCCTGAAAAACAACATTATTCTCAAATAAAAAGAGGCAATAATGAAGTGATATGTGCCATCTCATGTACATTCCTAACAACAGTATAGTCAATGTAGGGAATGATGGAAACACACTTCTTATGAAGTCGCATCGATTACACACTCATGACAAGGAGTATTATTATGCATAACAACTTCTTCATTATACATACATAACATTTCTGGGCTACTTCTTGCCTGTTCATTCATCTGAATAAATGTTTTTAATATCCATAATAGTGCCTCTAAATGCCTATAAAGACACTCATGTCAGAGAAATTTCAACATGATATAGATCATCATACATGTTGAATATAAACATTGCATAAACCACTTACCATCCCAAGAGCAACCTGACGTGCATATGACAGCAGCGTTGTCTGGTTAATGAAGTTCTCTTCTGTGAAACAAATACAATGCATCAAATGCTATAAAAAATATGACAGCTACAACAGAGCAGAAACTATCCACCTCTTGTAAATGTGGGCTGAATGAAATAAGGTTTAAGATTTCTCATTGACACCAATAGTAGTGAATTTTGTTGCCAGTGAGGTATTGCTGCATCCTTTGTAACAATGTAAACCTGTAGTCCAGGTGTAAAAGTGTCTTTCACATTATGGATGTCAAAGTGGACATACCTTCAAAAAACACTTCGGCATTGACTTTATCATCACATGATGGGATAGAGGATGCAAAGGTTGAATGACTCTCCTGCGAGCCGTCAGCACCATATTCACCTGAAAGTGATACCACACCTTGACCTTTGAATATTTCATGAGTTTATTGCATATTGAGTAAGGGTAAATGCTTGGGGGTATTATAAACATATTGTGAATCAATGAGGGATTGCCAATGATAACCTTAGCACCTGCATGTTGGCCTTTATAAAAAAAACTCAGTTTATATTTATTTATCATTCATGAAAGAGAACAGTTGTTCAAAGATGTGTATTGGACCTGAGAAAAGAGAAAGGATATATATATATTTATGTTTTAATGAATTTTTTTTTTTTTTAAATGTTAATTGAAATGTCTAATAGGAATTTTCACACACTGAAGGAATTGCAAGTATTTGTTCCATGCATAAAATTCATGTACCAAAAACAAAACAAAAAACAAAATAACCAATAGATTTTTAATATAGCCCCATCATAAAATCCCGCTTTCAGATACTTGACAGTTTCACAGGTAACCTCCCAAAACCCCTACATCCCATTTCCCCTACAGCTTAAGACAACAAAGTTCACGGTCCATGGCACTGCTAATCCCTAGTCTATTACCTATTTCATACAATGGAACAACCCAAGAAATACGAATAGATTGAGATAAATATTAAATTACGATTACGATATTATTCAAATTTCATAATACATTATAATAAAATGTTCATTTTTCAAAATTCATAATACATTATAATAAAATGTTCATTTTTCAAAATGCATAATACATTATAACAAAATGTTCATTTTTCAAAATTCATAATACATTATAATACATTTCATCTCAAATGTTCAATTCACTCTTTATCCCAGCCTGAGGAAATGGCCAACCGCATCTAGAAACTGCATTGGGGATTTCACCTCTCTATTCAACTCGTCTATTCAAGACGGTTCTCCACCTCTCTGTACACTCTCTTCCTGCCTCTTGGAGCTGCTCCAAAATCGAGCTGTAAAATCTTAGATCGTTCTGCCTGTTCCACCTTCCTGACTACCTCCACAAATCAGTAGATGTTGGGATGTCGGTGAGGGAGACCTCGGTTGAGTCGGTTATAAAAGCCTTCCAGGTTGTTGTTCGTCCTGGGACCTGTTTTACCGTGATGGTTCCACAGTGGTAGGGGGAATCGTGCTCCGTGGTCGACCCAGGTAGTGACGATGTAGTCGTTGAAGGCGACAGCTCTCGGTACATCTGGTGTGGTGTCCGTTGCGTCAACCCACGTGTCCTCTGTATCATTCCTTATCACGGTTCCTACTGTCGTGAGTCTTCCTCTACATGTGGACTTGACACACTACCAGTGTACGCAAGTCAGTCTCTTGACGTTCTTAGTGTGAAGATAACCAACCATCAAATAGGACTTGGGGCTTTCCTCTCTGTGACATAACAAACTCAACATAGCGAGGCCCAGACATGTTGATGTCATGTTAGTCAGTTTCAAGTATCTATATACTAAACCTAGCCATCTCAACTGTAAATCGTCCATCTCAGTTTCTCAGTGTAATAATTGTTTCTTCCTATTGTTATTTTTGTAATTTTTAAAAATTGTCTTCTCATCATATAGGCATCTTTCATTACACTTACATTATTTAAAAAAACAACAACTTCCCCTAGTCCCCTAAAGCTCTACCCCTTTCATTTCTACTACCTCTACTCCAGACCTTAATCTCTCCTTTAGGTGAGTTCATAATACCAGACAGGTAAATGCCGCGTGTTGTTTTAACTAATTGTAGGGGAACTGGGTTGTAGGGGAAATGGGATGTAGGGGTTTTGGGAGATAACCGTTTCACAAGGTAGAACATTTAGTGTGAAAGTTCCTGCATGACCAGAACAAATTTCAGTGTGATAGGAACCAAACCTTGACGTGATATGCACCTGCAAAGGAATAAATGTTGGTAGTAAAAGTTCCGCCAAAATTTGTATACGCATGGAACCAAATCTTGTTTACATGCAAGTGATTACGTGATTACAATCGAGCGGAGCTCCACACTGTCGTGTATTGCTTTGGGAAATCCAATCGCACCATCTCAAGCAGTAATCCCATAATCAGAAGCCAACTCAAACACACACCCAAAGTTCACAGTACGTTAATATCAATCCATTTGCAGCATTAGCCGGGTCTGGATTTCTTTCCAACTCTAACTTTACTGGGTGCAACTTTTATTTCAAGTGAATGACATTGCTGTAGCCGCCATTTTCTGCCGTTTGTAAAACCAAGGGATGTCACTCCATCTCTCCACGTTGATACTGTTTGCTTTAAATAATTAAAGTTTGATGTTTAATGGATTGTGTCTGTCAATATAAATATTGAAGTTGTATTTGTTGACATTCATCAGCTAATGAAGACAGTGCCTCACGTCAGCAAACTTAACATGTAGCACTTCGGATCGAAGATGAAGGACCCTGGATTTTAACCTGTGCAAGTTTTATTTTGACTTTAGTTATATTCTCAATTCGACTAGACTTCTTTCAGTTGATATGAACATATTTATCATATAATTGGTAGGTTTCTCAGCAGAATAAAGCCAACGGATAAAAACGATATCTGTTGGGGTCATATGTGGATAGAGATGCAAATATCAAAGGTCAAGTAGGGACTACTTTCACTATTTATAAACAAACATGGCGTTGCCCTCGTCATTCGGCGATCGAGTCAGAAAAACCATCGGGAATATGGATAAACTACAGGGATAATTGCTATCATTATCAAAAGAACAGTCTAATATACTGAAAATCGTGTCTAACTGTGACATAGCTAAGGTATTTTATAAGTTTTGGCAACTTTGGAGATATAAATTTCGAAACAATTTTGCGAGGACACGTGGCCTAGCCAAGCGGGATCAGTAGCCATGCATATCTTTGTTTGTAGACCTCTGCGGCTTGAAACCTTCTCCACAAATTAAAATAGTTGGATTTGGCCGAAATATGTTTGAATTGTTACCATGTTTCGTTTTGTTGCTGTGTGTACATCTGACTACACTTCTTAATGTTATGACAGGACAGACCGAATGTCAACAACGTCTGACCGTGGCCGTGACGTCTCATCGTCTAGGGTTAGAGTAGCTTCCCTTTGACAAAGGGCAGTTACTCTAGCGGACAGACCGATGGATTGCCGCGAAAGGCAATTAAAAACAATTGTTGTTTTGCGTATATGTTGCTTCGCCACTGTATAAGAAACAAATTTCAGTTGGAACTATATTGGCTACTGTCACTGTCTGACTGACACATCACTTACCCTGTGACGTTATAAATATTAATGCGCGCATTCCAGGAAAACTCGCAATGATTTGGTAATGTTTGAGAGAGAGGGAAAGCGATTTTGAAGCACAGAATTAAAGAATGACATTATATGATAAAGAGGTTATCACGCTTGTGTGTTTGGTAAATATCCTGTATTAGCTCACTAAATACAATGTTTATTCTTAATGCAGGATATTTACCATCCCCAAACACACTCGTGTGATAACCTCTATTTCCATAAAGTGGAGGGATTGGCAAACAAACAAATTTTGCTTATCTGAATGCCTCTCCCAAACATGATACACATACAATTTACAATGTATTGAAAGTGACATAAGAAATAGCATACATTATATAATTGGCATTAAAGATAAGTATTGTTCTGTAAGTGTTTAATTACTGGATTATCTTTCGTAACTACAGCTACATTATTATTTACATCCAGCACAACAACATCGCAGTATCATATAACAAAGCCAACATCTCAGACAAAATCTCTAAATCGGCAAGAAGATAGAAAAAAACTGTGCACTGATTTCAAAATTTCAAGATTTGTTGTTAAATAGAATTACCATTTAGAATTTAATTAAAATCGTGGCCTTTTACGAAATAATACATAGTGTACTGTTTAAGGGACACATAAGAAAGAAATGAAGTGCATCTTCCATGTTGTTGGTGCATGTGGAATTCCCGTATACAATCTATATATAGCACGGGAATTACCTTCCTGTGACGTAATGCATTGTAACCGGATGTAGCATGGTTCTGAATACATGAGTCAAATGAAGACTTTGTTTTGATTTCTATTAATCAATCAAGCTTATATAAAGTAGCTTGACGCTGATTGATCAAGTGAAACATGGTGTCAGAAGTGGCTGATTCCGTTGATGAACCTTAAAAGCACAGTAAACGCCTGACATTGCAGATATTTAGAACTTTCAAACTCTTATCAAGCGTTCGTTGTTGAGAACACGTTGATTCCATAATGGCGTCGTATCACATTCCCGCACCGCAAGAAATGAATCTTACGGGTGATGTTTCCTCTAACTGGAAGAATTTTAAAGCAGAATGGGACTTCTACGTTATTGCTACTGAATTAAATGAGAAAAACAAAGAAATTCAGGCTGCTGCGTTGTGTAGAGTGAGTGAGTGAGTTTGGTTTTACGCCGCTTTTAGCAATATTCCAGCAATATCACGGCGGGGGACACCAGAAATGGGCTTCACACATTGTACCCTCGTTGTGTAGAGTTATGGGGATAGAAACAGTCAAAGTTTTGAACAGTTTAGGGGTTACTAACGAAGAAAAGAAAGATCCTGCTCGGATTTTGACTAAACTAAATGGACATTTTCTGCCACAAAAACATTTATTGTTTGAACGTGTGAAATTTGGACATGCAGATCAGACTAGCAAAGAAAGTGTACATCAATATGTTTTCAGATTGCGTCAGTTAGCAGAGACATGTGAATTTGATGCATCAGAATCTGGATTGATCAGAGATAGACTAGTGATAGGTACTACAGATGAACACACACGTGATAGACTTTTAAAAAAAGACCAGTTCCGAACCTAGAAAGATGTATTGAATTGTTGAGAGCTGCAGAACTTTCACAAGCACACAAAGAAGAAATTAATTCAGAAATAAAGCAAGAAACAGTACATGCACATCAGAAAGTAAAAGAAAGAAGAACACATGACAAACAAAAGACTAAATTAATGACTCAACAAAAGACACAGAGTGAAAGCAACACAAGCTACACAAGAAGTAACCATGGTAACAGACAACATG